CGCGCTTCTGCTCCATGCCTCTGGAGTAGTGCCACCATGGAGGACGGAATTGAAGAGCTTCTGAAGGACTTCAAGTACCGGTGTTCCACCCGCTTTCAGAAGCTCCGCTGTAATTCCATCCTCGCCCTGGGCCTTGCCGTTTTTAAGGTGGTGGAGAGCCATTCTAATCTCGCTCAGACTGACGTCCGGGATATCATCGGAATAGTGTCGGATAAAACTTGCTCTTGGATCGTTACTTACACTTGCGTGTGGCTCCAACGATGATGTGTACAGCTGCCCATAGAACCTCTCAATCTCACTCAGAATCTCAGGTGTCCCGGAAACGATGTTGCCACACTCAGTCTTCAGCCTTGACAGTTGGCTCTTTCTGGCAGACAGATCTCTGGCAAAGACTTTGGAGCCCTGGTTCCGCTCGATCGCTTCTTTAATACGAGCAGTATTAAAGTTGCGTAAGTCTCGCCGCATGCATTTGGAGATCTGTCTGTTCAGTTGCCTGTATGCTGTCAAATCTGTTGACGATTGCAGCCTCATCTCCCGTCTAACAGCCATGAGATTAAGAGTGTGATCGGAGAGTTTTGGTGTTCTTCTGCGGCGGGTCTTGCAGAACTTAGCTCCGACCGCATGGACAGTTTCCACGAGCTTGTCATTCATATTGTTACGCGCTCAAATCGACAATACACTAGCGCCATCTAGTGTCAGGAACGAGAGCGAGGGGAGCATTGAGAAAATGACATCACAAATTACTCAACCGACAGCGCCTAGTCGAAACTCGAACGCTCGGTACCTTGCGCGTGTTTACTTGAACATTCTGGATATTTCTTTGCTAATTTAAATATATAGGCGCTGCAAGATGCGATCGAGGTAGAGTTGAACTCGGCGACACAAGCGAAGCTTCGGAGCGGAATTAAGTGAATTAGTGTGTTTAATTATTAGTGTTTTAAGTTTTAATTTGTGTAAAGTAAATTAAAGTGTTAATTTAGGTAATTATATCGGCAATTTTTATTGTCACGAACCTAAAGCTCGTAACAATTGGTGTCAGAAGTGGGATAAAATCATGCCGATTTTACCTAAGGAGGAAACGGAGGGTGTCCGTACCCGAAGTCAACGCCAGCAGGAGACGGACCAACGAAGATTTGGTGGTGCAACGCCGCAGACTTCGGAGGGCCAGCCACCGGCTGCAGGCCCGTCGGTAGCTCCTACATCTGCAGCACCTGACTTAGGTGCTCTGATTGGTGATGCTGCAGGAGCTGAAGCACGGACAGGAGGAACAGGCCAGTCAGTTGAAAGAGCAGCAGGAGGAACAGGCCCGCCGATTGGAAGAGCAGCTGCGGGGCGGACAAGAGGAACAGGTCCGTAGTTTAGAAGAGCAGCTGCGGGGCGGACAAGAGGAACAGGCCCATCGGTTGGAAGAACAGATGCTCCTCATGAAGGACCTTCACGCTACCTTCGGGAAGGAGATAAAGGAGGTGAAGGATAGGGTTGCTCAGCATGACAACCTTGAACCGCCTGTCGGAAGCTGAAACCCAAATCGCGAAAGCTGAAAACCGAATCGAGAAAGCTGAAACCCGAATCGACCAAGTAAACAATCGGGTTGACAACGTAATGGCTGACATGAGGAAATCACTTGACGAACTCAAACTTGGGGAGGGAACTACAGCTCCCGTAGTAGCTACTACACCTTCGCTACGTGGGTTCAAGGTGCCACCATTCGACGGGACTTCTTCCTGGTCAGCCTACAAAATCCAGTTCGAGGCTGTTATGAAGGCGAACGGCTGGAATAAAAGTCAGGCCATGACTGCTCTCACACTAGGCCTGCGCGACCAGGCCTTAACAGTTCTGGAAGCTCTCGGTGAGGAAGTGACTTATGAGCAACTCCTTGAGGCATTGGAGGCGAGATATGGCGACGCTCACCTGGAACACGTCTTTCGTGCGCAGCTTAAAGATCGTGTGCAGCGCATCAACGAAAACCTGCAGCAGTGGGCTCTAGAGGTGGAGAAGCTGTACTGTAGAAGCTGAGGTCTGTACCTGCGCTCATTGAAGGTAACCTGGTGCAGACATTCATCGACGGCATCCGCGACCTGGAAGTCAGAGCTGCTGTGAGGCTCGGGCACCACGAGACGCTGAAGGACGCCTTGGCCCATGCACTGGAAGTGGAAGCCGTGCGGCAGGATCATCGTTCCCATCGCGTCAGGGAGGTTGCAGCAGCTACAGTCCGTGACCGCAGCAAAGGATACAGCCCTAGGTGCTATGGCTGTGGGGAAAAGGGCCATCTTCGATCCAGCTGCCCTAAACGAACCGTGGAAAGGAGAGTTGATCGATCTCGAGAGGGTAGTGCAGCTAACGGCACTGCCTGGCGGCGACAGGATCATCGTTCACCTCACGCTAGGGAGGTTACAGCAGTTACGGTTCGCGACTACAATAAAAGATACAGCCCTAGGTGCTATGGCTGTGGGGAAAGGGGCCATCTTCGGTCCAGCTGCCCTAAGCACACCCTAGGAAGGGAAGGTGAACGGTCTCAGAAAGGAAGTGCGGCTAACAGCACCGCCCAGCAGCAGCAGGAATACGACTTTACTATCAGACACTGCAGCGGGAAATCTCACGGCAACGCAGATGCATTGACAAGAAGACCTTGTCCTGAAGATTGCAACCATTGTAGTAGGCAAGAGAGTAAGGAAGTGGTATCCGTGAGGATGCTCAGGACAGACCACCTCAGCAACGGGTGGAAGGACAGCCTACGACATGCACAGCAGGAAGATCCGGACATCAAGCCGATTCTGGGATGGATGAAGGCCCGTGCTACCAAGCCTAAGTGGAGGGACGTCTCAGCGATGAGTTCAACCACGAAAAGCTATTGGGCCCAATGGGACAGCTTGCTGATTCAGGATGGAGTCCTGTGCCGTAAATGGGACAATGGTCGAAGAGACAGCTGTCGTTTGCAAATGGTTGTCCCTAAAGCTAAAGTGCCGAATGTTCTACAGCTGTGCCATAATGGTCGTTCAAGAGTCCATCTGGGAGTTAAACGAACTCTACTGAAGGTCCGAGAACAGTTTTACTGGGTCCATTATCGTGACGATGTCGAGGATTGGTGTCGTACATGTACAAGTTGTGCGGCCGTGCGGCGACCTCAGACACGTAGTAGAGGAGCAACGAAATTGTACAATGTTGGTGCACCACGGGATAGGACAGCCCTTGACATTGCGGAACCGTTACAGAAAGCCGCAAGAGGGACTCCTAAGATCGTCCATGTGGATCGCTTGGCGCGTTATTATGGGGTCGATAATGCTCGGGACGAGCATGTCTTAGGAGGGGGCAGTGTTACGCGCTCAAGTCGACGATACACTAGCGCCATCTAGTGTCAGGAACGAGAGCGAGGGGAGCATTGAGAAAATGACATCACAAATTACTCAACCGACAGCGCCTAGTCGAAACTCGAACGCTCGGTACCTTGCGCGTGTTTACTTGAACATTCTGGATATTTCTTTGCTAATTTAAATAAGTAGGCGCTGCAAGATGCGATCGGGGTAGTGTTGATTTGGCGAGACAAGCGAAGCTTCGGAGCGAAATAAAGTGAATTAGTGTGTTTAATTATTAGTGTTTTAAGTTTTAATTTGTGTAAAGTAAATTAAAGTGTTAATTTAGGTAATTATATCGGCAATTTTTATTGTCACGAACCTAAAGCTCGTAACAATATCGTCCACTGCATTGCAATCCTCTAGGCACTGAAAGCGGTTTTGTAACTCGAGCTGAAAGGTTTCGGGATTCTGGATTAGAGCACGAGGGGGACGGAGCGTTGACTTCATTAGACGAGACCTCTCCAACTTAACATTTAGGTTCAGTGTGCCTCTAACCATTCGGTGATCGCTGCCAGTTTTCACCCTTGCGATCACTGAGACATCACTGAACAGTTGGCGTCTGGTAGTCATAATGAAGTCAATCTCATTTTTTGTCGAACCGTCGGGGCTCGACCAGGTCCACTTCCTGTGGGGCCGCTTCTGGAAGAAAGAGTTCATCATAAAGAGTCGCTCTTTTTCCATAAAGTCGGCCAGCTGCTGACCCCTTCGGTTCCGTTGCCCTACTCCAAATTTCCCCACCTTCAGCTCACCGCTTTCTCTTGTGCCTAGTTTTGCGTTGAAGTCTCCCATCAACACCGTGTAGTGGGTTTTGGAGGAATGCATGGCTCTGGAAATATTCTCATACATTTCCTCCACCTCCTCATCGGGATGTGCCGAGGTTGGTGCGTAAACCTGTATGACCTTCAGCGAATACCGTTTGGTGATTCTGAGTATCAGGTACGCGACCCTCGTTGACTCACTCCCAATCTTTACAACGTTGTTGAACGAGAGACTTGTGGACGATAAATCCGACACCTCCTTGGGACAGATGGTCGCCCTCCCGGTGGTAGAACAAGTTGCCGGACTCGAGGATTGCCGTGTCCTCCCCCTCTCTTCGGACCTCGGATAATCCAATAATATGCCAGCGCAACTTGTCTACCTCTTCTTCCAGCTCCAGTATCTTCTCGTCAGTCCTCAGAGTGCGTTGCGTTATATGTTGCCAGGTCGAGTCGTCGTAGGTGGCAACCGAACCTCCACCGGAGATTCTTAGCACCCCCCTGCCCCGCCGTTACCCTGATCGCCACCGTAGCCAGGAATAGCGGGGCCGCCGGGGACTGGGGGCCGTTTTTTTGCGTCGTTATTCATGGGGGGATATTTGCCATAGTTGCCACGCTTGGCGAGCGGGTTGGCAACCGCAGTTTTTTCATTATAACACAGTTGTTATCAGAAAGATGCTGCTGCCCATCTCCTGCCTGTCTCCCTCTGTCGCCTCTTACGACACCCACGGGAAGATATGGGGTAGTGGATATTCTCAACCGCCACTACACGGCATACAAAAATCATTTGTATTTATTAAATACAGCAGACTAGCAGTATAACAGAGTTGCAGCGAATATTTATACATGCGTTTTATTATAAAGTAGTGAAAATGATATAAATGACTCTTAGCTAATAGGACATGTATTTATTGTTTGCTTTTGCATATCTTAAAGAACATTGAGCAATACCACCGCAAATTCCTATCTCTAAAAATTGGTACATTTCAATATCTGAAAGTAAATCTAATTGTATTTTCGTATGAAACAACATAGCATCTTAATGATGTGGATGAGACATAGTAACATGGGTCAAGACTATAATGTTTTAAACTCATAGCTCGGAATTTTTCAAAAACATCACACATCAGTAATAATTCACATTTTAAATATAAATTCACCTAAGTTACCGATTTTAAAATCATTCCATACCTTCAATGCATGACTGTAATCTTCATCTGAAACAGATTGAGATGTAAGGTGATTAGAAAATTTCGATTGCTCTGGTAATTGATTTTCTTCATACCGATCCCACGAATCTATATAGTCATAACAGTAAATACCTTTCTTTCGAACTAAATTAAATAAATGTTTATCTTCAAAAAACTTACGTAAATTTTTAAAATCTCTCGCTTACATCGTTTTCACTAAATTATCTAAGCTCGAACTCAAAAAGTTGAAAGAGTCAATAAATTTCAACTGAACTGAGTTCTTATTGTTATTATTATTATTGTGGGGTATCTATATATAGTTTTCTCATCTGGTTGGGTTCTATAAATATATAATTATAAATGAGAATGAAAAGATAAATATACATAAATATCAATAATATAAAACAAATATAAAAATACTTAAATAAATAAAAGCCCAACCAGATGGAGGCCCTCAGCAGGGGAGACCAAACGGCCGAGGGTTAGGGGGAAAGGGAAAGAAACCGGCGGACGATGCGGGCGGTATCGAGGAGCACCGCCTTCTGCATTTGAGCCCGGAGCGGTCCGCCACGTAGTCCCAGTCGCCTCAGATGACCCGAGAGGCTGACTGGGATTAGCCCGTTTGCAGAGACGACTACAGGAATAATTTCGGTCGGCAGACCACCCCACATGTCGGTCACCTCGTGAGCCAGGTCCAGATATTTTGTTTGCTTGTCTGTTTCGGCTTTCACGAGGTTCTCGTCATACGGAATGGTAATGTCGACCAAAAATATCCTTGACTGTGCCCGGTCCATCAGCACAATATCAGGCTTATTCGCAAGAATAGTCCTGTCTGTGATGATGGCCCGGTCCCAGTAGAGCCTGGCGCGGTCATTTTCGAGCACGGCTTCCGGCAAGTACTTGTAATACGGCAATTTCCGGTCCACGAGACCATATTTCAGAGCGAGCTCCTGGTGTAGAATTCTGGCTACTAGGTTGTGCCTGTGCAAGTACTCAGAGTTAGAAAGCGCCGAACAACCGGAGATGACGCGCCTAAGTGATTCACCGGGATGGCGACAAGCTCGACAGACGTCGACGGTGCCATCCTTTAGGATGTATCTCCAATAGTTGTTGGTCTTAATAACCTGATCCTGTATTGCACAGACAAAACCCTCGGTTTCCCCGAAGAGGTCACCGAAACGTAGCCAGTTGAGGGAGGCGACTGTATCTACGAAGGGCTCATGTAGAACCCTGTAGTACCTCCCGTGGAGCTCCTTCTCCTTCCATACGGTCTCCCGGTCGGAAATGCTAAGCACTGCTGGGTCCTGCCATTGCTCGTTGGCCAAGGATAGAGGGGTAAGCCCTTTATCACTAGAAATGACGTCATTATAGAATGGATCATCCGATCTCGCCAGGAAGTAATGACGGAGGCTGCACACTTCACGATTATGCATAGTGAGCGCGCTTAGAAAGCCACGCCCACCATGCTTTCGCGGCAAGTACAGCCTCATTACCGACGATCTCGGATGATGCATCCTATGGGACGTCATGGTAGTGCGGATTTTTCTATCCAGGGCGTTAAGTTCGGTCTGAGTCCACCTGAGTATGCCAAAGGTATATATGAGGACAGGCATGACCCAACCGTTATATGCGTGTGTCTTATTCACACCGGACAAAAGGCTGTTAAGCACTTTGGTCAAGCGTGCATAAAACACGTCGCAAACTGACTGTTTCATACCAGCCTCATCGATACCGATGTTCTGTGACATACCCAGGTATCGGTATGTTTCAGCCTCGGAAAGGGTCTTTAAGTTGACGGGCATAGATAAATCTATGCCCTCAGAGTTAGCAACCCTTCCCCTTTCAACATGAAGGACCGCACACTTATCCGTCCCCAGCTCCATTCCAATGGAATTGCTAAATTCACAAGTGATGTTTAGCAATTCCATAAGATGGGAGCGACTGGAGGCGAATAACTTGAGGTCATACATATAGAAAAGGTGGGTCACTTTTGTTCCTCCTTTCCGTAGCTGAAATCCTCTCCCGGAGCCCTCCAGTAAGGTACTGAGAGGGTTCAGAGAGAGGCAGAACCAGATTGGACTCAGACAATCGCCCTGGAAAGATACCCCTTCTTATCCTTATGTGGTTCTCCGCAGCCATCATCCTCTCGCCCTGATAACAGAGGATCGTACTCCACTGCCCCATACACTGCTCGAGGAAGTCTCTAACTGTACAGTCAATTTTGTACAGCTCGAGGACCCTCTTTAGCCATGCATGGGGCACCGAGTCGAATGCTTTTCTGTAGTCTATCCAGGCGGCGGAGAAGTTCCGACGGTTGCGTTTTACCACTTCGCCAATGACCGCGTCAATGAGGAGTGGTTCCTTGGTTCTACGACCACCGCCTCGACATCCATTTTGAGCGCGTGACATCACCTGATTTAGCTCCAGGTGACGAGTGATTCTCGCGCTCAAAATGGATGTCAGTGTCTTATATATAGTGGGTAGACACGTGATGGGGCGGTATTTGCTCGGGTCTGTGGTATCCTGATCTTTAGGAACCAAGTGAGTGATCCCAGTAGTGAAGAGGCTCGGGAGCGACTTCTGATCGAGAGCCTCTTGATACTGTCGGGTGAGCACAGCGTGACACACTACGAACCCCTTCAGCCAGTAATGATGCAGCCCGTCGAGCCCCGGACTTTTCCAGTTCGGGGCCCTACGGACCGCCTTAGCCACGTCTTCAGGCGTTATGGTGACGGGGTCCATAGGCGTAACACTTGCACTCTGGCTCGCCACAACTTCCATCCAAGGGCCCTCGCTGTGGTTTACGGGTTCTGACCACAGGCCACGCCAAAATGCGACAGTGTCAGCCTGATCCGGTCCTGGGCCCGCTCCACATACCTCTAGTCGCTCCAATGATTTATAGATCCTCTTCTGATCACTCTGGAAGAGACGATTTTGGTTAAACCGCCTTGACCTCTCGCTAAATCGTCGAATCCGCTTCCCCCAAGCAGCGATTTTTTGCTTCAGGTCATCTATGCGCTCCGTTAGTTTCTGCGTGATATCCGGCTGGGACAAACTAATATTTGTCCCAGCAAACGCCATTCTAACGGTGCGCACAACTCTCGGTCTAATATTACCCGACCTGAAGCTTGTCAGTCTGCTGATAAGGGCCCTTGCCTTTGCGATACGGTCCTCGATTCTTTTTCTCCAGGCTGGGATGGCACTACCTTGTTGAGTAGCACGTCCAGCCATGGGAAGTTTGGCGCCAATAATACGGCATACTGCCAGTGCGGCGCCAAAAAGAATTGAGTCCGTCTCGCAAAGGTCCCGGCTGGCTTCCAAATAGGTCACCAGCATTGGGTTAAGAGCCCGCACGACAGCCCGATTTCGCTTGCTAAGGGGTATGCGGGGAAGTCGCGGTCGATTTTCGAGAGGCATGCTGCGCGTTTCCAGCATCGACTCTTCCAATATGCTCCTCATTTTCTCTAGTTCGTGGGGGACTATTCCATCATCGTCTGAATCAACCACAAATGGAATATTGACGGCAGCGTCCACATTTGCAGTTTGCTGCGCAATTAGTGGCGCCGCATTCCCAGCCGTAGCATTTCCATCCGATGAGGGAACAGCCTCACGTCGTATCGGAACCAAATATGTTGGAGCGCAGGATGTACCGAACTCGGTCTGCCAGGTTTTGCTCAGTGACGGATAGAGATGGCTCCAGCTCTGCAAAAAAGCGATGCATCCGAGCCCGATATGCCAAACATCCGGTTTCTTCCCCTTTTTGCCCTAAAGTACGCCCGCAGTGCGTTTGCGTTCATTGTTTGTGACCAACGCATGCGACGTGCTCCACCAGCGGCGGGTGCCGCCTGCTGAGTCCGAGAAGACCCAGCCGACACCAAGCCTTCTGGTTGGGATGATGGATGCAGAGGGCTGCTAGGTGATCGTACAGCTCCTCGCGCTCAGCTGGCGGCCCGCATGCTGCCGCGTCCAGCGCCAGCTCCAGACGCGCCCCGGCGACCCCCAGGCAGCGGCCCTATGCGCGTTCCTCTTTGTACCATCATCCATTTATGGGCGCCAAATAACGGGAGACGCCCAAGCCCGGCACCGTTTCGTGGTTCGGTCTTATGCACAAACGGACCTTTGCACCCACAATTTTGCCTAGGCACAGCGCTCACACCTCTTGGCAGGGCGCTGACTGACTGCGCCGACGTAGTAGTTTTGTCACATAACTGTTACATCAGCGGGCGATGGGGTCGTCACTTCCCTACGCCTTTTTATTATTATTATTTTTGGGGTATCTGTATAGTTTTCTCATCTGGTTGGTTTCTATAAATATATAATTATAAATTAAAATGAAAAGATAAATATACATAAATATCAATAAAATAAAATAAATACAAAAAATACACAAATAAATAAAGATCCAACCAGATGGAAGCCCTCGGCAGGGGAGACCAAACGGCCGAGGGTTAGGAGGAAAGGGAAAGAAACCGACGGACGATGCGGGCGGTATCGAGGACCACTGCCTTCTGCATTTGAGCCCGGAGCGGTCCGTCACGGAGTCCCAGTCGCCTCAGATGACCCGAGAGGCTGACTGGGATTAGCCCGTTTGCAGAGACGACTACAGGAATAATTTCGGTCGGCAAGCCACCCCACATGTCGGTCACCTCGTGAGCCAGGTCCAGATATTTTGTTTGCTTATCTGTTTCGGCTTTCACGAGGTTCTCGTCATACGGAATGGTAATGTCGACCAAAAATATCCTTGACTGTGCCCGGTCCATCAGCACAATATCAGGCTTATTTGCAAGAATAGTCCTGTCTGTGATGATGGCCCGGTCCCAGTAGAGCCTGGCGCGGTCATTTTCGAGCACGGCTTCCGGCAAGTACTTGTAATACGGCAATTTCCGGTCCACGAGACCGTATTTCAGAGCGAGCGCCTGGTGTAGAATTCTGGCTACTAGGTTGTGCCTGTGCAAGTACTCAGAGTTAGAAAGCGCCGAACAACCGGAGATGACATGTCTAAGTGACTCACCGGGATGGCGACAAGCTCGACAGACGTCGACGGTGCCATCCTTTAGAATGTATCTCCGATAGTTGTTGGTCTTAATAACCTGATCCTGTATTGCACAGACAAAACCCTCGGTTTCCCCCGAAGAGATCACCGAAGCGTAGCCAGTGGAGGGAGGCTACTGTATCTACGAAGGGCTCATGTAGAGCCTTGTAGAACCTCCCGTGGACCTCCTTCTCCTTCCATACGGTCTCCCGGTCGGAAATGCTCTGCACTGCCGGGTCTTGCCATTGCTCGTTGGCTAAGGATAGAGGGGTAAGTCCTTTATCACAAGAAATGACGTCCTTATAGAATGGATCATCCGATCTCGCCAGGAAGTATTGACGGAGGCTGCACACTTCGCGATTATGCATGGTGAGCGCGCTCAGAAAGCCACGACCACCATGCTTCCGCGGCAAATACAGCCTCATTACCGACGATCTCGGATGATGCATCCTATGGGACGTCATTGTAGTGCGGACTTTTCTATCCAGGGCGTTAAGTTCAGTCTGAGTCCACCTGAGTATGCCAAAGGTATACATGAGGACAGGCATGACCCAGCCGTTATATGCGTGTGCCTTATTCACACCGGACAAAAGGCTGTTAAGCACTTTGGTCAAGCGTGCATAAAACACGTCGCAAACTGACTGTTTCATACCAGTCTCATCGATACCGATGTTTTGTGACATACCCAGGTATCGGTATGTTTCAGCCTCGGAAAGGGTCCTTAAGTTGACGGGCATAGATAAGTCTACGCCCTCAGAGTTAGCAACCCTTCCCCTTTCAACATGGAGGACCGCACACTTATCCGTCCCCAGCTCCATTCCAATGGAATTGCTAAATTCACAAGTGATGTTTAGCAATTCCATAAGATGGGAGCGACTGGAGGCGAATAACTTGAGGTCATCCATATAGAAAAGGTGGGTCACTTTTGTCCCTCCTTTCCGAAGCTGAAATCCCCTCCCGGAGCCCTCCAGTAAGGTACTGAGAGGGTTCAGAGAGAGGCAGAACCAGATTGGACTCAGACAATCGCCCTGGAAGATACCCCTTCTTATCCTTATGTGGTTCTCCGCAGCCATCATCCGCTCGCCCAGATGGCAAAGGATCGTACTCCACTGCCCCATACACTGCTCAAGGAAGTCTCTAACTGTACAGTCTATCTTGTACAGCTCGAGAACTCTCTTTAGCCATGTATGGGGCACCGAGTCGAATGCCTTTCTGTAGTTATTAGTTATTATTAGTAGTATTAGTTATTATTATTATTATTATGTGGGGTATCTATATAGTTTTCTCATCTGGTTGGGATGTATAAATATATAATTATAAATGAAAATGAAAAGATAAATATACATAAATATTAATAACATAAAATAAATACAAAAATACATAAATAAATAAAAGCCCAACCAGATGGAAGCCCTCGGCAGGGGAGACCAAACGGCCGAGGGTTAGGGGTAAAGGGAAAGAAACCGGCGGACGATGCGGGCGGTATCAAGGAGCACCGCCTTCTGCATTTGAGCCCGGAGCGGTCCGTCACGTAGTCCCAGCCGCCTCAGATGACCAGAGAGGCTAACTGGGATTAGCCCGTTTGCAGAGACGACTACAGGAATAATTTCGGTCGGCATACCACCCCACATGTCGGTCACCTCGTGAGCCAGGTCCAGATATTTTGATTGCTTATCTGTTTCGGCTTTCACGAGGTTCTCGTCATACGGGATGGTAATGTCGACCAAAAATATTCTTGACTGTGCCCGGTCCATCAGCACAATATCAGGCTTATTCGCAAGAATAGTCCTGTCTGTGATGATGGCCCGGTCCCAGTAGAGCCTGGCGCGGTCATTTTCGAGCACGGCTTCCGGCAAGTACTTGTAATACGGCACTTTCCGGTCCACGAGACCGTATTTCAGAGCGAGCTCCTGGTGTAGAATTCTGGCTACTAGGTTGTGCCTGTGCAAGTACTCAGAGTTAGAAAGCGCCGAACAACCGGAGATGACATGCCTAAGTGACTCCCCGGGATGGCGACAAGCTCGACAGATGTCGACGGTGCCATCCTTTAGGATGTATCTCCGATAGTTGTTGGTCTTAATAACCTGATCTTGTATTGCACAGACAAAACCCTCGGTTTCCCCCGAAAAGGTCACCGAAACGTAGCCAGTTGAGGGAGGCGACTGTATCTACGAAGAGCTCATGTAGAGCCTTGTAGTACCTCCCGTGGAGCTCCTTCTCCTTCCATACGGTCTCCCGGTCGGAAATGCTCAGCACTGCCGGGTCCTGCCATTGCTCGTTGGCTAAGGATAGAGGGGTAAGCCCTTTATCACTAGAAATGACGTCCTTATAGAATGGATCATCCGATCTCGTCAGGAAGTATTGACGGAGACTGCACACTTCGCGATTATGCATGGTGAGCGCGCTCAGAAAGCCACGCCCACCATGCTTTCGCGGCAAGTACAGCCTCATTACCGACGATCTCGGATGATGCATCCTATGGGACGTCATGGTAGTGCGGACTTTTCTATCCAGGGCGTTAAGTTCAGTCTGAGTCCACCTGAGTATGCCAAAGGTATACATGAGGACAGGCATGACCCAGCCGTTATATGCGTGTGACTTATTCACACCGGACAAAAGGCTGTTAAGCACTTTGGTCAAGCGTGCATAAAACACGTCGCAAACTGACTGTTTCATACCAGCCTCATCGATACCGATGTTCTGTGACATACCCAGGTATCGGTATGTTTCAGCCTCGGAAAGGGTCCTTAAGTTGACGGGCATAGACAAGTCTACGCCCTCAGAGTTAGCAACCCTTCCCCTCTCAACATGGAGGACCGCACACTTATCCGTCCCCAGCTCCATTCCAATGGAACTGCTAAATTCACAAGTGATGTTTAGCAGTTCCATAAGATGGGAGCGACTGGAGGCGAATAACTTGAGGTCATCCATATAGAAAAGGTGGGTCACTTTTGTCCCTCCTTTCCGTAGCTGAAATCCCCTCCCGGAGCCCTCCAGTAAGGTACTGAGAGGGTTCAGAGAGAGGCAGAACCAGATTGGACTCAGACAATCGCCCTGGAAGATACCCCTTCTTATCCTTATGTGGTTCTCCGCAGCCATCATCCGCTCGCCCAGATGACAAAGGATCGTACTCCACTGCCCCATACACTGCTCGAGGAAGTCTCTAACTGTACAGTCAATCTTGTACAGCTCGAGGACCCTCTTTAGCCATGTATGGGGCACCGAGTCGAATGCCTTTCTATAGTCTATCCAGGCGGCAGAGAAGTTCCGACGGTTGCGTTTCACCACTTTGCCAATGACCGCGTCAATGAGGAGTGGTTCCTTGGTTCCACGACCACCGCCCCGACATCCATTTTGAGCGCGTGACATCAACTGGTTTAGCTCCAGGTGCCGAGTGATTCTCGCGCTCAAAATGGATGTCAGTGTCTTATATATGGTGGGTAGACACGTGATGGGGCGGTATTTGCTCGGGTCTGTGGTATCCTGATCTTTAGGAACCAAGTGAGTGATCCCAGTAGTGAAGAGGCTCGGGAGCGACTTCTGGTCGAGAGCCTCTTGAAACTGTCGGGCGAGCACAGCGTGACACACTATGAACCCCTTCAGCCAGTAATGATGCAGCCCGTCGAGCCCCGGACTTTTCCAGTTCGGGGCCCTACGGACCGCCTCAGCCACGTCTTCCGGCGTTACGGTGATGGGGTCCATAGGCGTAACACTCGCACCCTGGCTCGCCACAATTATTATTATTATTATTATTATTATTATTTTCTATTGGAATAAACTTACTAAATGAAATAAAGTTTTCTTTATTTCTGGGTATTAGATTTATACGACCACAAATGGCTGAAAGTTCCTTTATAAATAAATGGCAATCATAACCAGAAAGGTTGTGAAATATTATAGGTATGACTGAGCATGTCTTAGCTTCTAAATTACATTCATTATGAGCAGGTCCTCTGTATTTTCCAGTAAAGTGATCATGAACTGCAACTATGATATCTGTATTAGTAAATATTTTTTTACACAAATGACATTTCTTTACATTATTCAAACAGTCTCGCCCCGTTTCACCGATTACTAGAGGTGTATTATTTGAAAGTAATTTATGTAACCGTTTAACATCTTTATTAATTGATTCAATAAATTTTTTTGCACACTCTGACCCTCGATAGGAAACTAATTTATTGAGTTCGGACTTAGAATCACAAAATATATAATATGCAAAACAACTCGCCTCATGGATTTGATTATTTTCCACATACGTTGTTTTGTTTTTGTCTGAATACTCATGTAATAAACTGTCAAAGTCGCCATATATTACAATAGGAATTCTTTGAGTCTTTTCATAGTTTGAAAAATAAAGTTTAGTATTTTCTTCCGGTAAAATGGTTTGGATCCTCGCACAATCATGATTTAAAAGTTTTTCTGCAGTGTTAAAATATAAAAAACATTCTTCACATAAATGTATTTTAGATTTATGCTTAATTAATTGCTTGGGTACGAGTTTATCAAACCTTTTAAAAATGATATTTATTATTTTTATTGAAGTAAAGGAAGCTAACATGCTTTGTCTTTCTTTTTAAAGTTTTATACAGCGGCCCGGTCACATTAAATTTTTTATCTAAACCGTAAATATTAACGCTCACATTAGGATTCATTTCCTCGAATAATTTAATATCATTAAAACTTGGAGGAAATAACATATTATCTGTTATTTATCATTGTTTTTTAAATTTAAGCATGATTTTGTCTTAATTGTTTGCTTGTATTTTTGCAGGTAATGGTATATACGAACCAAATCTTAACGAATTATATTTTACAATATTTAATTCTAAGTGTCTTATTGCCTCAATAGTCCAACCTGATTTGCAAAGCTCGAATTCTGAACACTTGTTCGTTATTTTTTCTGCAAAACTGTTGTAAACAGATGATAAATCAGTGTTTTGGTATGTAATTTCATATTTGGTATTAAAATATTTAATAGATGATTCTTTATTCTTGGGTAAAGTATATGTAACAAACAGTTCAAAGTTAATTTTTAATGCTGTATGTTTCTTTTACCTTTGTTTTTAATTAGTTGAAGAGATATGTGTGAAATATCAGATAAGAAAATTTCAGGTGAAATAGTTAATTTTCAGGACTAATTCTGTAAGTGACAATTCTGTTCTTGAAAGCACATGCAATTATATTTACATTATCAAACTCGGTTTGCAGTAAGCAGTTGGACTTGTGAATAGGACTTTTGGTAAGCGAAATAACGTTTAACATGCACGCCGCAGGGCTTGCAGAAAAACATTTTTTTAATTATTATGAATACAGATCAGTTTATTATAATAAAATATAGTTTTTTGGTTGTTAGACTTTGAATTTTAGTTTTATAGCTTTATTTTGATTTTATGTTTATGTTATTAAAAGTATGAAGCCGGGTACCAAATATTTCTAAAAATAAATGATAAAACACTTATTATATTACTACACTAAAATATAGATCAGTTTTTTATAATAAAATAGAGTTCATATTTAGACTTTTAGTTTTATGGTTTTTTATTTCGATTTTTCGATTTTATCTGAATTTGAATTTAAATTTTTTATTTTTATTACGATTTCATCTGAAAGCAACAACACGTAGGTAAGTAACACTGATTAAACTATTAAACTAACTCTTAGTTGGATACAAAACTGGGCGAGCGTTGTGATAATCTTCTTTGATGCATGATACCAACTGGGTAACAGCCTTCCACGTTGGGGTTTTTTCTTCGACAGCTGATTTAAAGCTGATCAGAGAGTGCTGCCATCGGTCGGCTGATTGAATAGCATCCAGCTCGCGGAAGTTAGAGATACGCACTTCGATGTAATATTCTCCTCGCTTCGAAGGCTTGCTCCGGTGCATATATCGAATCTGTTCGGTATGATAAATAGCTTTTTAAAATCCCCGCTCGGATAGGTTCAGAATATTCTTCCTGGAAACAATAAAAATACTATTTAAACAAAAGCATACTGATAAGCAATGAACAATACTTATATTCCCTCTTACCCCGCATAAATATATTTTTATACGATGCTCATAACATGACTTAGTAGTACAATTCACTAACAATTGTATCAATCACATCGATCGTCTAAGAATATAATTAAATACAATTGATAGAATCAGGCGTTACTTTGCGGAAATCCGTTATAATAAAAAATAAAAATATAAATTCCTCAATACACGAGATGCCTCGTGTAGAGGCGAAACACATGTCGTATTATCGTCGATGGTGTGTCTTACCTGGAATAGTGGTGCTGGGAGTAGTAGTGCTGGTGCTGGGACTAGTGGTGACGGAGTTAGTGCATGCAATTGGGAGGGCGGGAGGTGCTCTTCAATCCAGATAAGACACATCATTGTATTTATTTAGCGGAATATAATTAAATATATCATTAAATACGTTTTCATAAAAAAAATTAACCTATGACTGATATTTTTTTTATTTTATTTATTGAAACAAAATCTACAGCTTGTACATTTACTAATATATATATAAACAAATTTTGAACATATTATGCAATATAGAAGCCTTTATAGATTTACATTTTTTTTGTGCGTGGGTGTGGGTGTGGGTGTGTGTGTGTGTGCGTGCGTGCGTGCGTGCGTTCGTGCGTGCGTGCGTGCGGTCGTGCGTGCGTGTGTGTGTATGATTGAGAGGTGAAAACGTGTGTTAGTTTGTGATATAATAATAAAATGTGTGTGTGTCGCAACTTCAATTTATCTTAAAGTTAATAAACAATGCCATCTGCCCAACCTTTGAAACAGCTTTTTTGAATTTGGTCTTGGACAAACAAAAAGGGTCAATGCTAGAAAAGTATTTATTATATGTTCTTAATACTCTATTTGTAACAGAGTTTTTGCATGGTTTGTGTAAGCTGATGGTACATAAAATAATTCCGTAACTCTAGTGCGTTTCTTGGGGGTACGAAAATTCATAATCTGTTGAGTCAAGTTTGGAAAGTCTAGAGCGCCAGTACAAACCTTGTATAGCAGCATCATATCAGTTACACATCTACGATCTTGTAAATTATTGACAACATCCAATCAAGTAGAAACTAACTTTTCATCATGTGAATGGTAACTCAAACTATTAAAATGAAATAAGATTTGCTTACCTCCGAATCTGGAAAAAGGTTTAATTTACGTTTCCTGCTGGTCGAAGCTGAGGTGAGTGATATATCAGCCTCAGATTCCGACTCGCTTCCGAATAATTCAACTCGTTTCTTGGACTTAGAAACTGTTGATTTAGTCCTTAATACATTAGCTGGTTTCTTAACCGCTTTCTTCTTTTACCAAGTCGACTGTACTTCAGCGTCTGACTAGAAGGGGTTGGAATACCTAAAAACGTAATACAAATAAATCACTATACAGGAACACTCATATGAAAACTTATAAAGCGAAACATAATATAACTTTACTCTAACATAATATAACAAATTAATTATTATTCTATTGTATTTAATGAATGAGGAGACTAAGTGTTACGTACATACTTGCTGTCTTGATGATGATGTCGAACACTTCCAAGTCTAGTAGACTGTGGAACACACGATGCAACTAATGGTTAAACACCTCCCAACATCTTATTTTATACCCTAAGTTATAACGCTGTCCCCCTTGGAAGTAATTTAATTTGACATATTTTAAAATAAAGAAAAATTTCATTTGGTAACTTAGCATTGATCTGTATTAATGTTATTCGTAAGGAATATTTTTGCTTATTAACATTACAACTTTAAATACTCGTATCTGAAAATCACTTTGTATAAATATTGCAAACGATGCCGAATTAACGTTTGCTGATATAGCAGCGGTACGTCATCTGGCGCCGGTCTGTCGATGTAACATGAGACGACAGTGTTTTACAGGTAAACGAGTATATTTCACAATAGTATGGAATGGATCAGCATATAGCGGTCGATGTACTTATTAAATTTAGATCCATTATAAATATATCTTTGTTCAAAATTAATGCTTTTTGAAGAATAAAACTAACAATTTTCAAATCTTAAACTGAATTTTATACTATTCGTAATATCTCTAGATAGAATATAGTCTGGAATAACACACAGGCGTTTGTTGTAAAAGCGTATATATTGCCTACCCATAAATTAATTACTAATTCTATAAAGTCTAAAAACTGGTATTACAAGCTTATGTTTGTTCCTAGTGTTCAAAATGAATATATTTTTTCTTATGAAAGCTATTTATGTTTTATGTACATACATTACATTTTCATAAATTATATATATATATATATATATATATATATATATATATATATATATATATATTCTTATCTTTCACGTCGCAACAGAGCGTCGGCATGGCATGATTTTTTGTATAGGGATAGTTCATAGGTTATTTTTTTCCGCGGAAAAACATCTCATTCCTGTTCCCGTGGGAATGAACATGTTTAATTTTTTAACTGATTAATTAATAAAGCTAAAAACACTAGGTAATATTATGTTTATCTATGTTATAAACACACTAATAAATGGTGAGGAAATAAGATGTTTTAAACTGGTTATGTAAGGATAACAAAAACACATGTATAAATTCAACTGTATTTATTATTTTGATTAGTAAGTATAAAACATTATTAACTTCAAAATAACTTGATCAGAAGGACATTTTCTATGATCAGGTTCAGTATCTATAGACCGCATTTGCATATTTCTGTTATCATTTTGTATCTGGCTACGGGCAGTTCTGCAAGCTTTCAGCCTGCAAGGCATACAGATTTCACCTGAAAAAGTTAATGAATATTGTAGAGCATCTTTACTAAATAATAGTACTTATCAGAATATTATTTTTTCTATATTTATTGCTTTTAAATGTTTATGTTTGTATTGATTAAGTAAAGCCAACAAAACATGTTCATTCATCGTTCGGAATCAGAAGGACATTTTCATTAATATGAGATATGAGATAAAACTGTTGTTTTCAATGTCAAAAAACTATAGATTTCCATAGTTCTGTTAACATTTTGTTATCTCTGCCACTATGTTAAATAAAAAATATATTATTATTTAAAAAATACCAATAATTAATGAGCTCCAGTTAATCAAATACTCAGAATAATTATGGATTTACATACAACAATATTTGACTGTGTACAAGTAATCTGACTTTTTATTTTCGCTGGTCTTATTTTATTATTTAGTTAAGTACCTGATGACAAAAAAAATATTTGTATTTAAAATATTATATGTGGTAGAGCCATGCTGTAATTATTTTAGTAGTATAGATGTAGCACCAATGGGTCGGCTCAACCGGGGTAGGACCACATTCTCACAGAATCCAGTGTAAAATAGCAGCTTAATGCTGCTGTATTTCATATGGCGAGTGTAGAGAACCGGAGACCCTTGTACTGGAAACGAGGCATTCCATCTCAGTCCTTAGGGGTGACAACGCATCTGCATTTATTCTGCATTCTCTATTGAAGATAAATGTAGATGTCTATGGGCCACAGTAACCACTTACCATCAGATGGACTGTGTGCTCGTTTGTCACCTTATCCAATGAAAAATATTCCAGAGTTAACCACGCAGCAGTCTTAAGCATCTGATTCTGTCGCAGGTATGGTCCAAAAACATCAAGGAGATAACCATTACACTATATTCTTATTCAAACTTATATATATATATATATATATATATATATATATATATATATATATATATATATATATACTATAATATATTATTATTCAAACTGTACGAGTAACTCGTATATTTGCGTCTGGTATTTACTACTTTTTTACACATAAATACTTATATATTGTCTATCTGCTATGGCTGGTATAAATCCAGAATCTTTGTATGTAATACTTTGTATTTAATTCTAATCTTCTATTAACATACACAAAAACTTCTTTGTGTATGTATATTTTATGTGATTTATTGTAAGTCGTCATTTACAATAAATCATACAAAATCTATTATATTTAATTGAGACTTTACTAATAACATAAAATTTCTAAGACCTGTGTTTGCAATTTGCTATGGAATTATACATTTTCCAAAACTAAGTGGAAAAGTAATCTCTTGTATTACATCAGACATTTAAGTAGTTCAAATCGCTTTGTTTTACATGCATACCCTTATGTTAATTAACTAAACGGCGAATTTACCATGCCACCACAAAAAATAAAAAGGGAGATGTGGAATTATTCATATTTCGCTTCCTGCATGGATATTATCTACATAATGTTTAACAATTGCATTGATTAGATATTGTCTCATGGTTTTTTGGTTTCATTGGCAAACCGTTCACTTTATTATAATTTCAAATAGGATGGATCGTTCCAGTAAACCAAATCAGTATCCTTTTTAACTTCTTTTAAAATATCAACTCCTTCTCCCTTTGGAAGACTTTCTACACTACTTTTATGTTTTCTCGAGTGCTTAAACAATGGTTTGATCACTTGCATATATTTAAATTCTTTGTTACTGTTAATCGGTTTGGATGGATCATAACTACGTTTGTGTGCATTAGTATCCAAAAGTAACAATTTATAATTTTGTAAGTCTTCCTCTGTTACAATATCTAAATTTGGTAGCTTTTAAACAATAACTCTTTTAAGCCTGGAGTTTTTTTTTTCAAACTATGATTTCCAATTTTGAAGATGTGATCATCATCATAGACACGAAATGCGCCGAGCATTAGTTTCCCATGTTCATTTCTGACACCATAAAGTATATCTTTTAATAACTCAGATGACATAGACCATGATAATGAATCATTTGCAATACTTGGTGTTGATTGATGAGATTTAAACGAAATTTCATTCGTGTTATTATCATCCGCAGGAAGCGAGTGAGTGAGGGTTTTGTTGGATATTGTGTATAAACATCATTATCCAAACTTTCTTCATCATTAAGAGGATCTTCAAACACATCACTTGAAGAAATCGATGACTCACTTGCGCTGTACTTAGGTTGTGTAATAAGATGAGCTTGGACTGTATCTTCATTTAAATGCTGCTTTTCTTCAGTTTTTCATTTTAAAACAAAATTTGTACACTGCGCTTGTCTGTATATACTGCTTTATGATGATCAATTATAATAAATACACTGAATTTTTACATTCTTGCGTAATCAGTTTCAAATGTCTAGCTTAATATATATTATTGTTTACATTACTAGACTTAAATAATGTACAGGATATGCTAATCAATCAATCAACACAAACAAAGTTCCCACACAACCATGTTTATGCTACTTTTTTACAGCGATATTAATTTTTTTCTTAGTAAACAACCAGTTCAAAACATTTTACTTGCCTAAAATTGGTATCCTATTACCCAGTCATTTTGGGTTTAATGTTATTAAAGATATATTAGTACTAACTAATCAACCGAAACATATTAAAACAAAGTTTTAACACGGTGCATATCTGTCCGTCTGTTCTACTATTAATATTCTACTTTGGAAATGATAATTTACAAAACACCAAGTATAATTCCACACCACAACTGCATTTATTAGGCAGTGACATTATACTTTGTGTTTTTTATCATTAGCACAACCAGTTTAAAACATCTTTCTTACTATAGGTATAGCGTGTGTAGGTAATATTATAAATGGACATATTACGAGGGAGCCACTGAAAATTTCGGGAATCAAGGAAGTGACACATTACAATTTAAAAATGTATTTATTGCTTTTCGAAGTATTCTCCGCGAAATTTGACACATTTTTCCATACCATGGAACCAATCATTGAAGCAACCATTCCATTCGGAAGTTGGGGTCTCCAAAATGGCCGTTTTGTAGGCGTCCACCGCTTCTTCAGGTGATGAAAATCTCTGTCCACGCAATTTATTCTTTATTTTAGGGAAAGTATAGAAATCATTAGGGCTTCAGTAGAGGCTGTACGGCGGATGGTCTAATAATTTTATGTTTTCTTGCTGTAAAAACTCTTGTTCTGTGTGCGGTGTGAGAACTCGCATTGTCGTGATGGAGGATGATGCGGCGGTTGCAGTTCTCTTTACGGAGTTCAGAAACGACCAGTGGCAAACAAATGCTAGCATACCATTCTGCATTTAACTGTTCTTTGTCCCTCAAGGGGAATAGTCATAACATGGCCGGTTTTGGAGACAAACGTGGCCACCATTTTTTTTGCAACACTCTGTGAACAAACAATTTTTGTTGGCTTTAACTCATTTTCGAACACCCAAACTCGTGATTGGTTTTTTGTTTCGAGTTCGTACGCGTATATCCAGGATTCGTCACCTGATACGATGTTGTATACAGCATTTGAAGATCCTGCGTGGAATCTTTCGAGAGTTCTGACGCACCAAGTAACGCGAGCCGCTTTTTGCTCTTCACAGAGCGAATGCGGTATCCATCGGAAAAACAACTTTTTTACACATAATTGTTCATGCAAGATTATTTGTATTTGATTCATCCAATGTCTAAAGTTGCCTGAATTTCGCGGTATGTCACATGTCGATCTTCCTCAATCAGCTTACGCACAGCATCAACGTTTTCTTGGGTGACTGCAGTTTTTGGACCACCTTGACGGGGATCATCACTGAGCCTGACACGTCCACGTTGAAATTCAGAAAACCAGCGATAAATTGTGGTTTTGTATGGGGCTTCATCACCAAATGCAGAAATCATCCGGTCAACACACTGTTTTTGTGTTAAACCACTTCGAAAGTCATAATAAATCATCGCTCTTGAATTTACTCGAGTTAATTCAATTTTCTCAACGACTAAACAAGTTTGACAAAACCTTGTGACAACACCGAGAATCTTTTTTTTAAATAAATAAATGGTATTCGATTTTTAAAACCAAGGAGTTTTCAATTAAAAAGATTTTAATATGACAGGAACAGTGGAAATATTCCAATCACGATACTTTTAGTGCAGCCTATGTATCCCTTACTCATCTTGGTTTTAATCATGTTACTTTAATGGTATTTGGGATGAATACTCACTAACAATCAATACATGTATACGATAGAAGCTATCCATAAAACATTTGTAAACAGACAGGCTCTATATCTTGTTGGAACAACTAAAAGAATTTTCTATCGATCTTATAGTACCTGCTGAATGTACCTGCAACTTACTTTTATACTATTAATTATTAAACAGTACACTATTTTAACTGATAATACCAGTACAAAGTGTTTACAATTATTATCCTGCGATTTTCGACACACAAGTTTAGGTTAGTTAAGTTAGACAAGGTTATTAAAAAATCGCATGTTTGAAGCGATTAACGTTCTGGGATCGTATCGATAAATTATCATTAACAGACAATATGCGAGCAAAGATTACTGGAGATCCGAAAGCACAAGAGTTAGTTAAAAATATGTTAAACATTGGCATTGACACTTATATTATATATCCTATATAGATTCACAGTTAGGCAAACTTATTCTATCAGAAGAATTGTATAACATAGTAAATACAAATGAAGAACTTATTGAAAATGTTTATCCGTCTATTGAACAGAATTATCTAAATAGGACATGGTTGTGTGAGCAAAAAATGATGAAGTGCATTAAATTAATAAAAGGATACGGAATATGACACCAAATGAAAAACTGTATAAATCAATAGACACAATGATGAATCAAGACGAAAGTGTGAGAAGAAGTTTGAGAAGTTTTTTGAATAACAGAGAAAGTATTTGTTTTTTGTGTTGCTGAATAAATGAGTCATTGAACTTGGGTATTATAATTTAATTTATGACACATTGTTTTTAAAAATAGAGACTCGTAAAGTTGGAAATAGTGAATTTCGAGCGCAATTTTTGCAAAGCTGTTCATAAATCAAAAAGCAAATCGATGACGTAGGGATTTTTTATTCAAAAAACCTTACTGAGAACATACACAGTAAGAAAATAATTTAACCTCTTGGATGGCAGCATAGTGCTTACCTTTAACGTTTTTGGAAACTTCCCACAATTTATTCCAATTTTCATTCAGTTTCCTTTTAGCTAGCAAAATTAGGTCATGTGAGTAAATTAAATTTTGTAGAATGCCATTAGCAATTGCATTTTTAGCGAGTACATCAGCTGTTTCGTTACCATGGATACCACTGTGGCCTGGTATCCAGGCCACTGAAACATGGATTCCTTTAAGATGACATCGGAATTGGGTATTTTTTATTTTAAGAATTAGTGGACATTTATGTTTGTTATGGAATTGATTGGATAAAATAGCTAACAAACAACCTTTTGAATCTGTGAAAATAACTGTTTTATTAAGATTATGTGACTGTACATATAACAAAGCTTCAGTGATTGCAGTTGCTTCACCGGTAAAAGTGGAGGATAGTGAGGGGCAATTAAAGTTAAGAATGATTTTGAACTTAGGAATCCAAACAGCAGCTCCAGTATAGTCTTCATCAAACTGTTTTGAAGCGTCTGTGTACATGACAAGCCAATCTTTAAAGGTGTTTTCTATAATTTCTTTTAACCCAGATACTGCGACGGGGCTTTTAAAAGACCCGAAAAAATTATTAAAAATACCCTCAAGTTTCGAGTTGTTAAAATGAATTCTCTAAGATATTTGCACTGTCAGGTTACTTAGTACCTATCCGTGTATGATTTTATGCGGTATTGTTTACAACTAGACACTTGTTTATTTAAAGTTTTTGTGTCATTGAAGACTTAGGAGTATTAGTGTCATGATGTCTGGACAAGGGTAAGTTTTTATCATTTATATATCTGGATGTTGTAGCTAATACATTTTGATATTTAATTTTAGATATATTATCTACAATATCAGGTTATCTATTTGTTTTGGTGCAACAAAAACTCATTCCTTTTTCACGTTTCAAACTGATGGCCTTTTAAAAGTCCCGTCGCAATATGGGGGTCTATAATATTATTGTTTTCTTTTTAGCACGCGACCTTTGAGAGCACTCAATCTCAATGATATAGTTGATGAATTAGAGCGATGTGAGGATGATGATTTGTTGCCAACTCAAATTACAATTTTTCCACCTGAGACCGCTAATGTCGACGTCACAGATGAGGATTCTGGAGATGAAGAATTTGTTGCATTGCAAAATCTACCAGGTAAAATATTTGTTTTCGGGTTGATATAACTACGTATCAATACTCGTAATTCTATCTTGTTTTATTTATATGGTTGCAATATTTGTTCTGTTTTTTATAGGCTCTCAACTACGAGCTCCAGCCGAGGTCACTTTTCATATGAGTTCCGACGAAGAAGATGATGTACCTTTGTCAAGTTTGTCAAAAAGAAGACGCACGATGGATTTGACTTTAGAAGATAGTGACGCCGTACCTTCTTGTACTTCAGATGTGTCAACTAATTCTACATTTGTTCAGCCTACAGTTCCCCGAAACCAAACCTATAGATGGAAGAATCGTCATATTCCAAACCATTTCAATTAATGGAATGACGAACAAGGTCCAAAAAACTTACAATCACCCTTATATTATTTCGACTGCTTGTTCAACAACAATGTTATTGAATTACTGGTGCGATATACCAATTTGTATGCAGGACAGAGGAATAAAGTGGGCAAAGTAACTGTTTCTGAAATGAAGTGTTTCTTGGGCATCCTTACGTACAGCGGGTATGTAGTAGTACCCCGTAGGTTTATGTATTGGGAGACCTTGCATTGGAAACCTACGGGGCCGACTTGCCGACTTTAGGATTGTGCACAACGCTATGTCAAGAGATCGTTTTACTTTTATTATGTCAAATATCCACTGCTGTGATAATACAGTTCTTGGTGATTCTCCTGACACATTCGCTAAGTTGAGACCTCTGTTTGACGAGTTAAATAAAATCTTTACTGAAATGGCTCCGCTAGAAGAGAACTACAGCATAGATGAGGCTATGGTTTCATACTATGGACGTCACAGTTGCAAACAGTTTATACGTGGCAAACCAATTCGTTGGGGGTATAAACTGTGGGTTGGTGCTACAAGATTAGGCTACGTAATTTGGTTTGATCCCTACCAGGGAAAATCTTCAACCATTGCAGAAGGTTACAAACAGTTTGGTCTAGGTGGGAGTGTGATTTTGGAGTTTGCTGATGTTCTACAAGGTCGTGATCCAACATTGCCATTTCATTTATACTTCGACAATTATTTTTCCTCTATTCCTCTACTGCATAAACTTAGTAATAGAGGTCTGAGAGCCACTGGAACTATTCGTGAAAACAGAACGTCCAAGTGTCCTCTCGAGTCTAACAAAGATTTCAAAAATACTGATAGAGGTTCATTTGTATTCAAATCCAGTTTGCCTACCAATATTTTGGTTTGCAAGTGGAATGACAATAGTGTCGTTACTGTTGCCTCGCATACTGAAACTGTGGAGCCCCTGCAAAAAGTCAAGAGATTTTCGCAAGAACTAAAAAGATTTGTACATATTGACCAACCGTCGGTTATAAGAAAATACAATGAAAATATGGGAGGGGTCGATAGATCCGATCAAAACATAGGGTTGTATCGGACTTCTATTCGTGGCAAGAAATGGTATTTTTCACTGTTTTGTCACACCTTAGATATGGCTGTGCATAATGCATGGCAACTTTACAAGCGAGACGGTAGAGAACATGATCATCTCACTTTTCGTAGACTACTGGCGAAAGGTTTTCTCGAAAGCTACAAAAAAAAAAAACGATAAGAGAGGACCATGTCCCACAGGTAGATCTCATCTTGAATCATCTCGATATGATGGGGTTCATCACTTGGTCCAGTACAGCGCTCCCCAACTAAGATGCAAAGTTTGCAAAGTTAAAAGTTTTTTTTATTTGCCAAAAGTGTAAGATTCATTTACATCCTAAGAACTGTTTCCTTGAATATCACACTAAAACTCAGTAAAGTTAGTGAACTTTACTGACTTTTAGTGTGATATACTTAGTGAAGTGCTGTTGTTTTATTGTGAGACATCATATCACATAACTTGCTACACCTGTGTCTATTTTCTTTTGTATAGTTAAAATTTACCGTAATAATAAAAAACTAATATAATAACAGTTTGTTTTATTATTAGACCGCCACATACATGTAAACAATCCCCATATTACGACGGGACTTTTAAAAGCCCACTCTTTTCCGGCTTTTCTGAAAACATGTAATTTTTTTACTATTTTTCCTGGTTATTATGAGTCATTTTATCCATATCATATCCGAATATTACCAAGATCGAAAACAAAAAATAGTTACAGTAACATCTGGGTTAATTTCAAATT